AAAAAGGTCTGAGGCCAAAATGTAGAACTTGAGCAATGTCTTTGATATAATTCAAGCATTGTTCTTTAAATTGTCGATTTATTTTTGATTGGTCTGCAAGAGAGGGTGAAATTCAAAATATTGTCTCCCGCTGAGACATGGGATAGAGAAAATTGTCTTTCTTGTATCAACCAATTAAGATCTGGCATTTTAACGTGAAGTATAATAATATGTATTGGTCATTTCTCTCTAAGACACTTAAATATTTTAATTTTGGAGATCTAGATTCCAATATGAATTGGATGAAAACATTTTACAATGATATTTCATCATATATATGTCATATAGAACTGACAGACTTTTCCGAGTGAAAAAAGGCTAAAGATAAGGGGATCCTTTATGTCTCCTTATTCTTTTTTTCTGTGTGCAGACATACTAGGCATTTTAGTAGGAAATAGTGATGAGATAAAGGGTATTACAATAGATGATTCATCAGAGTTTATCTTGTCTCAATATGCAGACGACACATCACTTATTTTAGATGGTTCACTGGATGCATGCCTCTGTATGTTACAATTCTATGCTGAGATATCAGGACTTAAAATCAACTTAGACAAAGCAGATGTTAGATGGATATAGGTAGTAGGAAACGTAGTCAAAACAAAATATGTGTAAAAAGTAAAATAACAAAAATACAGAAACTCCAGGGAAAATTCAAATTCAAATGTGTAAAGTGGGGACTAAAGTGGGGTTCCAGTACCTTCACATTACTGGGTTTAACCTTTTTGCATCGATTTATATAGACTGATAAACCTAAATTATGCTCCTAAAATGCAAGAAGTAGAAAATATATTACAAAATGGTCAAAACAGTCAATTACCCCATTTGGGATAGAAGGTTATTTAGGTCAAATTCAAAGTGAATCAAATTATTAATACTTATGCAAAATATCAATTTTACAGAGTTGGCTTGTTTTGGAGCAATTAAGATATCAAACAAGAGGCGCCTAAGGGTCTAAATCACTCACTTGGTAAAGACATGCCATTTAGATACTAATTTTTACCTTTGTTGCAATCAGTTATGTTATTGTCGTAGATCATGTATTGCTGATCATTTCTGAAGTGCAAATTTTGCACCTATCTACTGTAGTTTTCCAGATAATTAAAAAACACAAAATTTTTGTAGTTGTTGTATAGCTAATCATTTTTCTATTTACAGTTTTTATCTATCTATTAGAATTGTAAAGATTGTTTGCAAAATTATAAAAAATTAGTCAAAAACTGTTTTAACAACTCCTATAAGGATTAATCCCATAGTTTCTGTCATATTGCCTTTTTAGTACATCTTGTATTGCTCATCATTTTTGCTGTTTACAGTTTTATCTATATTTTATATTCCTTGAGGTTAGTGGCAAAAACATGAAAATTCATCAAAAAATTATCATTTAAGAACCATATTTAACTCCTTAAGGAGTCTTCCAATAGTTTCGGTAGTATTTGCTTGTTTGTAGATATTGTATTGCTGATAATTTTTTATCTATCTGTTAAAGTTATTGAGATAATTGACAAAAACATCAAAAATCCTCATTTAAGGACCATTACTCCTTAAGGAGTCATCTGATGGTTTCAACTTTCAGTCATGTTGGTATTTTTGTAGGTTGTATTGCTGATCATTTTTGTACACAGTTTCTACTTATCTATAATAATATTCAGGATAAGTGGCAAAAACAGGAAATCGTCATTTAATGCTGATAACTCCTTCAAGAGATATCTGCTAATTATGGTGAAAATTTGAAGAAGGTTGATCTGGGCATTCTGAGCATTTTTTCCCACTGCTAAATATTCTCTTTCTATCATAATTTTCAGGATATAAGACAATTACTGCATTTTACCATTATATTCTAATTTTTCAGCCATGGCAAATGATGGCCACCATTCCTACAAAATATAAGAGGTTTTGTGTAAAAAGGTCTCAGAGGAGTTGTGTTCAAAAGATGTTGTTTTTACAATACTCCAACAAATGGTCAAAGTTCAATAACTCCTGTACTACATGATGGCAAAAAGTAGAACCAACAATGAGAGCATTCTATAAAACGTTCTCCGAGGAATTGCGTCCACAAGGTGTTATTGTCACAATACTGAAGAAAGGGGTCAAAGTCCCATAACACCCATAAAAATGATAAAATCAAAAGTCGTTAAAGGTTGTATAATATGGTCAACTACCCATGATGGCAAACAATGGTTGTAAGTATGAGAGCTTTTTGTCAAATGGTCTCAAAGGAATGTGTTAACAAGGTGTTATTCAATATTGTCACAATATTTTTACTCCAAAAAAATAGTCAAAGTCCCATTAGGGAGCTACCATTTGATATTTATGGGGGGCTAGGATGAAAAATTTTGTCCTGCATTTTTTTTTAGTTGTAATCTCTGTCCTGCTTTTTTATTTTTTACTCTGTTCGGTCCTGCCTTTTTTTTTTTAAAGTTTATCCTGACTTTTTTTTACCTAAATCGTCATCCTGACTTTTTTTTTTTGCAAGTGTCTCATCCTGCCTTTTTTTTTCTCAAAACTCCTGTCCTGCCTATTTTTTTCAAATTTCATCCTAGCCCCCCCATAAAAATCACATGGTAGCTCCCTTACCTTGTTTTACATGGTTCAATCAAAATGGCAGTATCATATGGTCAACTACAGATGATGGCAAACAATCCTACCAATATAAGAGATTTCTATCAGATGGTCTCAGAGGAGTTGCCTTCACATGGTGTTTTGTCACAATACTTCAAAAATGTCCAATAACTACATGTACAGTGTACCATAAAAAATGTCAAACAAACTGATGATTTAGCATGATAACGAAAATATGACGACAAATAATCCAACAACTGTAAAAGCTTTATGTCAAACAGTGTCTGGGTATCGATGTATTTGGACGGACAGACAGAGACCATAACATATATCCCAAATATATTTCAAACTATAGATGAACCAAGAAAAAGTTTACAGTTTTATTTGTGTTGCATATTATTTTGCATGTTGGGGCATGAAAAGAGTTTGCAGTTGTTATGTCGGTGGTGCAAGCAGTTTTTAGTGGGATTGAATGTGCGCATACTGCATTTTATTTTTCATATCATAGATTAGGGCAAGTTTTTACGCCTAGCTTCAGCAAGAATGAAGTTGAATTCCAAGTTGGGAAAATTAATGGGTCTTTATTCAGCGATATTAAACTCTTTTTCCTTAGTAGTGTTTCTAGTGGGGCAAGTTGGCAGGTCTTTATTCAAAAGTGAAAAAAAAAAGAGTCAATTAGTGGTCCGACTTTGCAGGTCTTTAATCAGCAGAATTAAAGTTCTTTTCATTAGTGAGGCAAGTTGGTAGGTCTTTATTCAGCTGGATTTAATTGCCTTTCATTAGTGGGGTGAATTTCAGGTCTTTATTCAGCAGAAATAAACTCCTTTTCATCAGTGGAGCAAGTTGGTTGACATGAGTATGGAAAGTTTAACAAAAGTGGGGCAAGTTTGTAGAAAGTTGGGGCAATTAGGTAGTTGGGTGAGTTGATTTGCTTTCCTTTACGCTGTAAGAGTTATATGACAGCAGCACTTTTATATAGAGTTGGGACATTCACAATTATCCTTGTGTGATATGTTTTTCATACTATTACAATTTTCACTGCTTACGGTTTCCACTGTTGAGTTTACATTCATGTTTGAATTGGATTTTAAAACCATGTTCTGTCGAATGTGTTGATGTGCTTAGATTTAAATGTATTTGCCAGCGGCTTACTGCATATTTTTACTTTTTCCGATCTTTACGATTTTCATATTTCATAAAAATGGTGTCATATGTTTTCGTATGAAGTAAAAATAGGATCAATATGCAGAATTTCCCAAAATTTTGTTAAATTAAAAAAAATCTCCTGCCCTTAATAATATAATTTTGAGGACAAATTTGTGCCTTCATTACACTTTCTTCATAAGGTTCTACAAGGAGAGAAATATATATAAAATATAACAACCAAACACACAACCAAACACAGAAAGCTAGCTGTTTTCATCTCTATGTCATGTTCCCTTCACGAATGGCTGCACCCATGCATGTAACTCTATTTATTAGTACATTGTAACCTTTAAAAGCCGCTTCAAATACGCTTGGTATTTATCGCATTGAATTGATGTTGCCGTTCCAAATATAGAAACAGGAAGACATATTACAGTGTTCGTTAGTCTAAATTAATAATTATGACGTCTTGAAAGGCTATTTTATTTTTTTATTTATTTGCTGTGCAGGAAGGCATCACAGCAATACAATACATTATTGTCTCGTGATATCAGAGATATATATACACATATATTTATGTCTCTGGTGATATATATCCCACATTTCCTTTTGTTCATACATTTTGTACCCATTACAAATCAATTGATAACCCAAATAAAAAATGTTTGGCTTCATTGTGAATGGAAATTTATTTACAAATTAGTCTGATTAAAATAACACTTGAAACCACATGGACTTGGTTAGCAGATTAAAAAAAAAATTAATCCTTAGACCACAAATATACGTTGATAGTGGGGCTTCCAATGGATAGAAACAAGTGCCTGTGCCTAAAATAGACCTAGGATTTTTCAGTCGACGGATATGGATAGTAAACTGCACATTGCTAGAAACAGAGAAATATTGATGCCATCGTTAAATATGTAAATAAAGTAATACAATGTCAAATCAGGAACATATAAATAGATATACTGTTCCCAGGTCAAATAAACAGAAAATACTAAAAAAAAAAAGTTAAAAATATTTGATTAATTTTTTTTAATCTGCTAACCCAGTCCTAGTCCAGATAATTATGACGTCTTGAAAGGCTATTCTAATTGAAGGCGTTACAGCAAAACATTAAAATAGCCTTTGAAGACGTCATAATTATTTCGACTAACCGAGTCCCTGTGCTTGAAACATGAACATGGTGAAGTCATGATCCTGGGTCGTGTGACTTAGATAGTAATTTTGTTTTGCTTGGTTGTATATGCAACCTGTAAATTCTTCTGATTGTATTACTGGGAGATGAAATTCTCTTCTCCTCTTCTCAACAAATTTGACAGCATTCAACAACAAGTTTTGTACTTTCACCAGTTCTATCATTTTACTTTTTGGTGCAGAAGTCGATCCATGCGGATGCTTTTGGACTTTTTCCTCGATTTGAAAGAAAAATGATAATTTCTCGCCACTAATTCCACGACCCGGATATAGAAACTTCGGTCGAATAGTTCAGAGTGTACAAAATGAAACTTAAAAATATTGCACTTTTTATTTGTTAAATCGCAATGACAAGTTTAAGTGCTGAACTGAATAGGTTTTGTGAGTTTTCAAAAAGAACCAAGCAAATTTTAGATGAGACTAAGAGCTGTTTTGATGACATTAACGAATCAGGAAACTCAGAACTTGGTAACTATAAATTATCTTTTTGTTACAATCTTATAAATTTCTGTTATGATAGCTGAATTTAACAATGTACTTTGAAATATAATATGAGACAGGTGCTACCTGATGAGCTTCAAGGGGTTATATATTTGAGTACGAATTTTATTTTTACTGTCTTTGATAGTGCATGTCATCATACTTTTCGGACACCCAAAAGGTTTTAATCCCTGGCTACAATACACCTAATCGCTATTTATTCCATTCCGGATAAGTTCTAAAATTACACAACTTTTTCATCCAGTTGACGCTATCTGGGACCCTGTTTAAACAATGCACCATGCCTGATACTTTTTAATGAGACCTGTTTAAAACATCGTAAATACTTCAAACACAATATTATTTTTGACTTTAATTTGAGTTTGGAAAAAGTGGATCATAATCTATCAAAGTTTTCTATTGATTGCTTTCTAAATTTTTCCCTCCCTCAGCTCGTTACTGATGACCTTTGTTTGCGGCCTGTTGACCCAAACAGGAAGTTGTCTAAATGACTGTTTTTTTCCGGATTGGACTAAATAGCGATAAGGTGTATAGGTTGTGTCTGTGTATTTATACTAACATGTATAATCTGTATAGGAAAAGGACCCTCACAGAGTGGCAATTGTCTTGAAAAATACAACAACCAAACGTAAAATATGTTGTCAATACAAAATCGAGAATCTTCATATCAATAGGCCATTTCACAGTTAATGCAGCCATAATGAATAGGGGCAGATTTTTTGGAAAGAGGTGGAAATATTATGAAAGTGCGGGAAATCCTTGCTCTTACTCCTTAATGCCGTGTGCTCAGGGGAGAAGCTGCAAATATCAATTTTACAGTCTTTCGTTTGACCTGGCAGGGGTTCGAACCCACCTCTTCCCCCACTTTAGGCAAACATGTACATTTACTACAGAACCACTGAGGCGATTTAGAGTTTAGAATTCTGAATACTTGTATAAAAGGGAAGTGAAGTCAAATATTTGAAACCATCTCCTTCCTATTCTTCAGAATACATGTTTGCAGATTTTTTATTTCTTTCTCTCTTTTTTGTTTTTATACGCCCGTTTACGGGACGTATTGTTATGGTATACCGTTGTCTGTCCATCCATCCATCCGTCGTCCACATGTTTAACAATAACTCAAAAACGCTTTAACCAATGTGCATGAAACATTGGTGAATTGTTTATATATCTATTGACGTGAGCTCCCTTTCATTTTTTATAAATTTCAGAGTTATGGGGTGTTATTCATTAAAAAAGGGGGATTTTCCAGTTTTCGGACAATAACTCAAAAATGCTTGAAGCAGTTTCCCTGAAACTTTGATGAATTTTTTATATCTGTTGACGTGAGCTGCCTTTTGAATTTTATAAATTTTAGATTTTAGGTTTCCGAGTTATGGGGTTTAATTCATTAAAAAAGGGGTGATTTTTCAGTTTTCAGACAATAACTCAAAAATGCTTTAAGCTGCTTTCATGAAACTTTGACGAATTATTTATATCTATTGAAATGAGCTGCATTTCGATTTATATAAATTTTAGATCTTATGTTTCCGAGTTATGGGGTTTTATTCATCATGTTCATCAAAAAAGGGGGATTTTGCTGTTTTCGGACAATAACTCCAAAAGGACTTTGAACAGTTTTCATGAAACTTTGGTGACTGCTTTATTTCTATTGACGTGAGCTCCCTTTAGTTCTTTTATAAATTTCTGATATGACATTTAGGAGTTATGGAATGTTATTCTTTGAAAAAACGACGGGCATATCATACGCTCATGGCGCAGCTGTTTATTGGTTTAAAATTTAGTGAGGCAGTTTCCACACTGCCTCAATGGAAGCTCTGCTGGTAGATCCCAGCTAACATAGTAACAACTTGTAGACTAGATAGATAATTTGACATGCAGATATGTTGCAAAATTATTCAAAATCTTGTAGTTAGTGTTGTCATGACACATTAAGACAACCATAACATCCTGTTTTCCCTCCAGCCCGGTTTCCTAAATAAAGATCTTGTGAAACTCAACTTCTGAAATTTATAGACATGATAGATGTTGTCACTAAAATGTTAAAAAATGAAAGCAAACAAATGTACTAATATTGGATTTTTATAAAGCTTTCAATAAAGTCAGTCATTATTTATTCAATGTTACTATCGGGATACAGGGTAAAATAAATGCATGCATACAGGGCTTCTTATCACATTGCACCTAAGCATTTATCCTAGAGTTTGAGACTTCAGACTATGTCCCTGTTAATTCATGAGTGCCTGTTTACCAAAAATGTATTTCTTTTCACTTCATTTAAAGAATGAGGTAAAGACTATGTCACAATGATGTATATAGATATAGGAAGATGTGGTATGAGTGCCAATGAGACAACTCTCCATCCAAGTTACAATTTATAAAAGTAAACCATTATAGGTCAAGGTACGGCCTTCAACATGGAGCATTGGCTCACACCGAACAGCAAGCTATAAAGGGCCCCAAAAAATTACTAGTGTAAAACCATTCAAACGGAAAAAACCAACGGTCTAATCTATATAAAAACAAGAAACAAGAAACATGTATGAACTACATAAACAGAGGACAACTACTGTAATCAGATTCCTGACTTAGGACAGGTGCAAACATTTGCAGCGGGATTAAACGTTTTAATGGTACCAAACCTTCTCCCTTTTCTGAAACAATAGTATAACATCACAACATAGAAAAACACACTATAAAATATCAATTGGAAGGCTTAACTCAATCAAAAAACATAAATTAACACACAATGAATGATAAATTTGATCTGTGACACGTGAGTGCATGTATACTAGATCCATTAGATTTACAAATTTTTTATTTCAACAAATAGCTACACTTTTTGCTTTGCAGTAGCTCCTTCTGTGATGGCTTTCATCATTTATTTCCAGTGAACCAATGGTCAATATAATGACTTTTTTTTGTTATTGTTGACTTTGCCAGTTTCCTTTTCTAAATGTGTTAATTCTATGGGACTATACAACTATGTCCTATATTTATATACATTTCATGAGATACAATTGTCAATTTCATGTATTTTAAGGGTCACTGTTTAAAGCAGAACTATTACGAGAAGAGGAACAAGAGATTTTAGATATTGCACAAAGACCACCAGGAATTGTGATATTGGGACAAAATTCTTATTCAAAGTTCAGGATTGTAAATGAAATATTCAACAATGGGATATTCCCAGTCATTAACTCTGCAGTGCATGATGACTTACCATTTCGTATGGTTAGATTTAGACATGGCGAGAGTCTCTCTTACAGCCTAGCACTGCCAGACGACTATGAAATTGTTGATCACTTAGACGCATATAGAGACCAATCCAAAACTGTACCACTAAAGGATTTACAAATTCATTCTGCCAACAAGGCATCAGATTCAGCCATTTTGGAAATTTCTTATAATCATGTTATACTCAGACAGGGGGCTCAGATTATTGTTGCACCTTCCCTTGGAGAAATCAGCAAAGTCTATAAGACATGTACAGAGAGTGTTTCTCCGATTCTGGTTTATTCTTTTTCAGATGATTTTTCAGACGAGGTTAGTTTATATTTAATTATAGATGAAGTTCTGTGACTTTTGTTAACATACCAGTAAATAAATCATGTACTATTCTAGAAGTTTTCATCAATTCAAAAATTTTGTTTTGGATAGAAACTAACAATTTTAGATAAAGTACACAAATGTACATATATACACATATACTGTGACTTATGTTAACATCACAGTGAATGATACATGTCCAATTTTAGATGTTCACTATAATTTGCAAATTTTGTTGTGACACTTACATGACTTAACATGCTAAATATACATGATATATGATGGATTTTTTTATGAAATTTAACATCAAAGAGGATTATATAAAATTTGATGTGATTAAATGGCTTATTTTCTAGACTAATTGGTTTAAACATTTATTCGTCATCATTACAAATATATCACTATAATAATAGTACAAAGGACAAGCTGTACATAGCACATATTATTCTGTTTCCTTGAAATAGCAACTCCATTTAATGTTTTTATAAACATAGCATGCAATGGTATGGAACAGGAATAAATAATAATTACATAACAATGAGAGGGGGCGGGGAATGAAAATAATGGAAATAATAAAAAAAATCAGCAAAAGGAAAAATATTACTCTTTAAAAATACATGTACTATACAAATGTTCAGATGAAATACAACTTTGTCAAAATAGTAAATAACAATTTACCTTTTAACTCTCTTGAATTTTAGTAAGAATTTTTGTACTTTTTCAAAAATGTCCTTGTTCTGGTCTATACCACATGTACCAGATTGGATCATTTTGTAGTCGAAAATATTTTTTTTTTCCCCGAATGAAATGAAAGCTGAACCATAAAGTCATACATGCTTGTAGAAGAGGGCAATTGAGAATTCTTCATACTTTATTTAAATTTATAAACACTATTTATTTAGTGTGTCAAAATGGGATACAAGTACATGGATCTTTTACTGAATGAGAATATCAATGCATTGGTTCATTGTCAAGATGACTTTGTAACCTTTATTAATTTTTATACGACCGCAAAATATTTTTTGTATTTGTATAATGCTATCATGTTTATATCATATTATTATGATGGATCATCAAGGTTTATCTATTGATAATTACGCTTTAAGAAATTTTAACACAAGCTTTTTCATCAGTATACATGTACAAATGTAGAACAGCACTTAACTTAAGCTAATTTCTATTTTTCATTTTAAAAAAGTGAAGTATTTTCAAGCATTGTGAATCGTTTGTTGAATAAGCAGGAAATAAAGTTTAATATGTCAGGACATCTGGTTAAACATAAGCACGATAAGAACGCTTTGACATGTTTGAGACAAAAATAAATCTGAAAATGACATTTGATAGAAATTTCAAGTCGTATTTATACATTCTTTTTGATATGTAACATAAAACATTGTCATTGTGAAATGAAGGATACTATGTAAATAACACATAGCTGAGAGGGTGATAGAGCAGATTGTTACCCCAAGAAAGCATTGTCAACTGAGGCGAAGCCATGGTTGACAATGTCTTTTCGAGGGGTAACAATCTGCTCTATCACCCCCTCAGATATGTGTTATTTAATTTATTATACTGAATGTTCTGTTATAACTGTCTATTAAATTTCAAATTCAAAGTAATAAACTATGTCGTCTTGTACATACCAATCATCTGTATTTATTGAAGCACACACTTGAGTAAGCGTCTCCATGAAGGGTAATAGAGTATTTGCCATGGGATACAGTAAATTGTCTCCCTCGTATTAACCAATCAAAATCTGGCATTTTGACATGAAGTATGATAAATGCAGTTGCCTTTTTGCATGATCATCTGAACTAGGTTCTATTTTATCAAACTATTTAACTAGAGTAACCAAAATGCAATCGAAAAGTAATTGATGATTACATAATATTTTTTGCTGTAATTTATTTAACTTCTCATCCTTTTTCTAAAAAAGTTCATCAGAAGATACCAAGACCTTGTTGATAAATATTCCATATCAACTTGACAAATAATCAAGATAATACATGATGGTCTTGAAGTATAGATTCTAGGTACTGACGTTGTTTATCATTTTAATTAGGTGTTATAATGTTCTTTTTATTTGTCTTTGTAAATTATTAACCTTTACTGTTTTGTCCATTTTTTGTAATATTCTTTTGGCGTGGCTCGGTACTTATGCATCCCGCCAATGTGCTGTTGTGCTGTGGTCTTTTTTGTATTTTGTCTTTCATTTTTGCTTATGTGCTTTGTCTATATGCCATTTTGTTTTTCTTTGTTGACATATTTGTTTGTTTTTATAGTGATTAAGATTATAACACAATGTTGACTGCTGTACCCCTATTTTTGACATTTTTTACCTATTATGTCTGTTCGTTTTGTTCACACATTGTTGTCAATATAATGGAATTTTATACAACTGTCTTACAAGTGAGAGGTTTAGCTAGCTATAAAACCAGGTTTAATCCACCATTTTTTACATAAGGAAATGCCTGTACCAAGTCAGGAATATTACAGTTGTTTTCCATTCGTTTGATGTGTTTGAGCTTTTGATTTTGCCATTTGATAAGGGACTTTTCGATTTGAATTTTCCGTGGATTTCGGTATTTTTGTTATTTTTGTTTTCATTAAAGTACAAATACATGTAATCGAAAATTTTGATGATTACAGATTACTGTCAATTACTTGGAAAAATGTAATCATTTACAATCGATTACGATTACCCTACATCTGATAAGTACACGGCAAGTATTAAGAAAAATACTACATACTGACAACCCTATAGATGCATATAAAGCAGGAAGGCCAACAAGAAAATGTGCTGTAGTCCTGACTTTGCACAGGCACATTTATTGATGGGTTAAACATGTTAAACCTTAAACTTTAACTAAGAATTCATGTAAGATATTATCAAACAAGTAAGGACTAACGAAAATCAAAGAAATGGAAGATGTGTATTGTGATTCCTTTAATTATTTGTTTTTATTTTGATATACAGGAGATTGAGACTCTACAAAATCTACAAGAAATATCCCAGTATGAATCTGTATGCTTTATACGTGTTCCTAAATGTAAGCAATATTTGACGAATGGAGAAAGCCCAAATAACAACTCAACAAATTTAACAACAGACAGTGAGAAGGACAATGTATCTAGTTCACCATCAAGGAAGATAGAAAAAACTTTAGATAAAGTTAATGGCAATTCACGACTACAAAGTCATTCAAAGAATAAAATTACCATTCTAAAGAATACCAAAGTTTACGAACAGCTATGTGATTTAGGCTACTTAAATGAGAATCCTACATGTCGGAACACAAGACGATCATTTTTGTCTGACTATTATGAAACGGAGAGTGATTTAATTGACAATTTTGAAAGCCATTCTTATCGTTTTAATATGTTTGTGCAGCAGACTTTACAGAGATACTTAGTAAATTCCTCTACAGTTTTGAATAACTCTCATTCACGGTGTTTAAGTATGTTTATTATGTCTGCTTTTGATATGGCAAGAGACATGCTAATTACACCAAAGAAACTGATGTTTGCTCGAGAAAAAGAAGTTGAACTGTATAAATCTTTGATGAGAATAAGTGTGGCCAAAACAAATGAGATCAGAGAAATGATTGGATCTACAATAGCAGAAAATCAAAATATGTTGGTGCAAAAAGCTGCTGATTATGAATTTCTAGGTAGGTTTTTATTTTTGAATAGAAATATAGATCTATGTATGCATGACGTTAAAAAAACCAATACACATATGAATAAAGATGCTGTGTAACTGAGAGTAATCTTAAATCTGTACTTTCTGTAAGTTCTTTTGTAGTTGTTTTTTGTATGTTGAGTGTTCATCTGATGAGTCAGGCTGTTTGAACTGATTTTTGTCAAGCCTGCGATTTCGTCACAGAAAGCTTGACATAGGGATAGTGATCCGCCAGCAATGGCAGGGTTAACTAACTTCTTAAAAGCTTAATATTTCAGAAGGTAGAAGACCTGGATGCTGCATACTTTGTATGTAGATGCCTTATGGTATGAAGTTTCCATCTGTCATATGTCCATTGTCCATGGCCTCAATTTCATGGTTCAGTGACTACTTGAAAAAAAAGTTAAGATTTTTATAATGTTAATTTCTGTCTTATTATGAGTAGTAGGAGAACTATATTTGGTATGTGCGTACCTTGCAAGGTCCTCATGCTTGTCAGACAGTTTTCACTTGACTTCGACCTCATTTCATGGATCAGTGAACAAGGTTAAGTTTTCGTGGTCAAGTCCATATCTCAGATACTATAAGCAAACTGTCTACTATAATTGGTGTATGTAATGATTGTAAGTTGTACATTTGTACATGTCCAACTGGCAGGTGACATCTGCCCTTGACCTCAATTTCATGGGTCAGTGGTAAAAGTTAAGTTTTTGTGTTTTGGTCTGTATTTCTAATACTGTATGCAATAGGTCAACTATATTTGGTGTATGGAAATATTTGACGTTGTACACGTCAGTCTGGCAGGTTTTATTTGATATTGACCTCATTTTCACAGTTCATTGCTCAATGTTAAGTACTTGTGTTTTGGTCTGTTTTTCTAATACTGTATGCAATAGGTCAACTATATTTAGTGTATGGAAATATTTTACGATGTACTTGTCAGTCTGGCAGGTTTTATAAATTAAATTTGACCTCGACCTCATTTTCATTGTTCATTGCTTAATGTTAAGTTTTTGTGTTTTGGTCCGTTTTTTGTCTCGCCTTGACAGAGTCAAAAAGCGAGACATAGGTATGCTGTTTCCAGCGGCGGCGGCGGCGTCAACAATGTATTAGTTTGTGATTAGGTCTAGTTCATGATGAACCACTAGTGGTAGGTCAATGATATTTGGTATGCAGTTGTATTAGCATTGGCACATCTCATTTCCATGGAGAATATTTGGCCCCGCCCCCTCAGTCATGATCTATTTACTTTGAAACTTTTCATAGTTTACATGTATTAGTTTGTGATTAGGTCAATTTATGGGGAACCACTAATGGTAGGTCAATGATATTTGGTATGCAGTTGTATAAGCATTGGCATATCTCATTTCCATGGAGAATATTTGGCCCCGCCCCCTCAGTCATGATCTATTTACTTTGAAACTTTTGCTTAGTTTACATGTATTAGTTTGTGATATACAAATCCTTGACGAAAACAATATTTTTTTCACCACTCTCAATTTTTTTGCACCAACTTTCACAAACATATTTATGACTCATCAGCCTCTTTAACATTTAGTTTCAGTCATGTCAGTCTGTGATGAAATTTTTTAAAATTTAGATATCTTTATCAAACCATCATGGTATTTTATAAAAATTTGAAAAGAAGCTTATTCCTAATCAAGGGATAGCATCTGGAGCAAAATTTTGACAGCCTTTTTTGTTATTCATTTTTGTCGAGCCTGCAACTTGTGTCGCAGAAAACTCAACATAGGGGTAGTGGTCCGGCGGCGGCAACAGCGGCTTTAACTAACTATTTAAAAGCTTTATATTTTAGATGCCTTATGTTATGAAGTTTCGGTCTGTCATATGACCATTGTCCTTGACCTCATTTACATGGTTGAGTAACTACTTGAAAAAAAAGTTAAGATTTTTTGTAATGTTAATTTCTCTCTTATTATGAGTAATAGGATAACTATATTAAGTATGTGCTTACCTTGCAAGGTCCTCAATGTTCATAAATGTTTATATGGATCTGTCCCAGAATATTTGTCTAACAAAATCTCCTATGTTACAAATAAAAATGGAATGCAACTTAGATCAAATACTACCCAATTACTTAATATACCAAAGGCAAGAACAAACACATTTAGAAGATCTTTTTCATATTCTGGCCCAACTTTATGGAATAAACTACCAGAAGCCCTAAGACACATGTCAAACATAAATACTTTTAAAACAAACTGCTTTAAGTTTTTACTTGAAAATCCAGGAATTATTTAAATGATTATGTATCAATTCTGATTATGTTTTCTTATGTTTATCTTTGTTATGAAGAAATTGTGTGATGCATTGTGAGTGGAGTGTGAGGGCCTCAAGGGAGAATAGTGTTTGTACTAATTGAGCATACCCTCTTGAAATAAAGATTATTATTATTATTATTATTATTATGCCTGTCAGACAGTTTTCATCTGACCTTGACCTCATTTCATGGATCAGTGAACAAGGTTAAGTTTTCGTGGTCAAGTCCATATCTTAGATACTATAAGCAATTGGTCTAGTATATTGGTGTATGGAAGGGTTTTAAGGTGTACATGTCCAACTGGCAGGTGTCATCTGACCTTGACCTCATTTTCATGGTTCAGTGGTCAAAGTTAAGTTTTTGTTTGCCTTGACGGAGTCAAAAAGCGAGACATACATGTAGGTATGCCGTTTCTGGCGTCGGCGGCGATGGCGGCAACAACAATGTATTAGTTTGTGATTAGGTCTAGTTCATGGTGAACCACTAGTGGTAGGTCAATGATAATTGGTATGCAGTTGTATTAGCATTGGCACATCTCATTCCCATGGAGATTATTTGACCCCGCCCCCTCAGACAAGGTCTATTGACTTTGAAACTTTTCATAGTTTACATGTATTAGTTTGTGATTAGATCAATTTATGGGGAACCACTAGTGGTAGGTCAATGATATTTGGTATGCAGTTGTATAAGCATTGGCATATCTCATTTTCATGGAGATTATTTGGCTCTGCCTCCTTAGTCATGGTTTGTAGACTTTGAAAATTTTGCTAAGTTTACATGTATTAGTTTGTGATTAGGTCAGTTCAAGGGGAACCATTAGTGGTAGGCCAATGTTAATTGGTGTTCAATTGTATAAGCGTTAGCACATCTCATTTCCATGGAGAATATTTGGCCCTGCCCCCTCAGTCATGGTCTATTTACTTTGAAACTTTTTCTCAGTTTACATGTATTAGTTTGTGATTAGATAAGTTTAAGATGATCTGGTAATGTTAAGTCAATGATATTTGGTATGCAAATTTATTGGCATTTGCAAGTATCGTTTCCATGGAGATTATATAGCCCCACCCGTGATCATGGTTCATTGACTTTGAAACTTTTACATAGTTTACAAGTTAATGTTTGTGTTTAGGTTTGTTTAAAGGGAACGACTTATGATAAGTTAATGGTATTTGGTATGCAGTTGAATTAGCATTGGCACATCTCATTACATGGAGATTGTTTAGCCATGTACCTTCAGTCATGGTTCATCGAATTTGAATATTTGCATAACTGACATGTTAAAGTATTGCTATTTTATTTCAACATTTGCATTATCAAAATTACAAAAAGGCGAGACATATCTCTGTGATAACAGTTTATTGAGTTTTGGTTTTTTTTTCTAATACTATATGCAAAAGGGCAACAATATTTGGTGTATGGAAATATTTTATGATGTACATGTCAGCCTCGCAGGTTTTATTTGACCTTGACCTCACTTTTACTGTTCATTACTCAGTGTTCAGTTTTTGTGTTTTGGTCTGTTTTTCTTAAACTATAAGCAATAGGTCAACTTTATTTGTTGTATGGAAGGATTGTAAGCTGTATATATCTGTCTGGCAGGTATCATCTGACCTTGACCTCATTTTGGTGGTTCATTGGTCAATGTTAAGTTTTCTTTGTTAAGTTTGTTTCTTAGATACTATAAGCAATAGGTCAACTATATTTAATGCATAGATTGATTGTAAGGTGTACATGTCTGCCTGGCATGATTCATCTGACCTCATTTTCATGGTACATTGGTCAATCATGAATGTTTAGTTTTCTTGGTTAAGTCTGTTTCTTAGAAACTGTAAGCAATAGGTCAACTATATTTAGTGTATTGAATGATTATAAGGTGTACATGTATTTCTCGTTTGGTTTATCTGACCTTGACCTCATTTTCTTTGATCATGTTAAGTTTATGTGATAATTGTAGTAAAGCTTTATATTTAGGACTATCAACATAATATCAATGGTTAGTAAAGCAGGCGAGACATTTCAGCGTGTGCACTCTTGTTCTTGTTGGGATGGGTTAAGACTGTGACTACATTTCCACAAATCTTTTGAAGCTTTGGAATTTTTAACCATCTTTGAATAAAAATTTCTTTTAGATTCAACAATTATGTGTTTTGTCCTGTTTCGCCAAAATTTGAACTAGGACCACATTCCTAGTCTATGGAATTTCTCTCTCATTTTCCTGGCATATATAATTTCATTATTGAACCATTCAGGTTGTCTGTCTGTCTCTTTTTACTCTTTTAGTAACACTTGGTGCATGTTTATCTAGAACTCCATTAAACTGTTAAATATGTCATACCATATCTGAATACATGTATTTGGGTCACTATCATGTTCAATTTTATCAAAAGGTGCAATAGCTAAGTCACTTAGAAAATTTGTCTCATTGAATTTTTGTCGAGCCTTCGACTTTTGTCGAAAAAGCGAGACATAGCGATCCTACATTCCGTCGGCGGCGGTGGCGTCCACAAATATTCACTCTGTGGTTAAAGTTTTTGAAATTTTAATAACTTTCTTAAACTATCCTGGATTTCTACCAAACTTGGACAGAAGCTTGTTTATGATCAAAAGATAGTATCCAGAAGTAAATTTTGTAAAAAAAAAATCCTGTTTTTCCGTATTTTACTTATAAATGGACTTAGTTTTTCTGCCAGGGAACATTACATTCACTC